TAGTATTGTTTCCGGAGTAGCTAGCATTTTTTTCCTTTCTGTAGGTTGTCTCTTCACTCTGTTGGCTGTTTCCTTTGCTGCACAGAAGCTTTTCAATTTGATATTCAGTAATTCCACTTGTTGATTCTTGGTATTATTGTATAATTGGAATTCTCTTGATAAAGTCCCTCCCTATTCCTATGTCATCAAGAGTCATTCGAGAGATGCAGATGAAAACAACCCTGAGATTCCACCTCATCCTACAAAGAATGGCTGCTATCAAGAAACCAACCAATAACAAATGTTGGCAGGGTTTGGGGGAGAAAGGAATCCTTCTCCATTGTTGTTGCAAGTGCAGACTGGTGCAACCACTATGGAAATCAACATGGAGATACCTCAAAGAGCTGGGACTAGAGGTACCATTTGACCCAGCCATCCCTCTGCTGGGTAGCTTCCCAAAAGAATTAAAAGAATCATACCACAGAGATATATGTGCACCAATGTTTATAGCGGCACAGTTTGTAATAGCTACAATTTGGAAACAGCCCATCTGCCCATCAGTTGGAAACTGAATAGAGATGTGGATTTTCTATAAAATGTAGTACTACTCAGCCATAAAGAATGAGAAATTAGATTCATTCATAGGAAAATGGACACATATTGAGGATATACTCTTTTAAGTGAAGTAAATAAGTCACACATGTGTAAATACCGTATAGTTTTTCTGGTGTGAATAAACTATAATAGTACATAAGATCCTAATGAGACAATCGACAATGTGAAATAGGAAGACAAGGGCTGAAGATGTAGGGGAAGTGGGAACGGTAGGGGAAAGGTAATAAGGGAAAAGAAAAAAATATGAGAAAATGAAAAAAATGGGAATAAATTATTTTTAAATAGGTAAAGGAGGAGAGAGTGAAGGGAGGGCAGGGATAAGGGGAAAAAAATGAGAACCAAGACCTGTCATGTAAAGGTACAAGATCCCAATGATAAATGTAACTGTACTATATACCTAAAATGGACCAGTAAACTCAATGAGAAAAAAAGTTTTATTTTCCAACAGACTCAATATTTATCATTTTAACTGAACTAATTAATAATGCCCTCCCTTACTTTTTTTATACTGCATCTTTTCCTCATTTCAACTTCTTAAAAAGTATGATAGTGTCATTGTCACTTTTTCATCTCTGAGATACAGTACTTGAAACCGACAGTTTAAAAGCCAGGTTTATTTTGGCTTACATTTTCTAACGATTTCAGTCCATAGTTGGCTGGTTCCAGGGCAGAAGCATGATAGAAGGACCTACTATGAAAGAAGCTGGCTCAATCCATGACAGCTAGGAATGAGAGAATGAAAGGAGGAAGAGGGGAGGGTGACAAACCCTCCCAGCCTATATCTGCAGTGAACAGCCTCTTGCTTCTGGTCAGACTCCACATCCCAGCAGCAAGCCAACTATGCTGTCATAATCCAAACACTTTGCAAAAGCCTCACTCATGGTGGAATGAGATTTTGAGGGGACATCTAGATCTAAACCATAACAGATCATCTCTGGGAAATGTCTATTATCTTGTAATAAAAAGTAATAGATTATTAGCATGTGCCTACTTTCTACCATCAATGTCTTTATATTCTTATTCTATAGCATACCAATTACTTTTAAGTGGAAATATTGAACTTAGTTCTTTTGCCCAAAAGAGCATCATTCAGTATTGCTTATTTTCTAGGAACCTACACTTTTAACTAGTCTTGCTAGCATTATGCTGAAGAGAGAAGCTTCGACTATACAACATCAATGCCATATATCAAAAGGCAGATGGGATCGGGTATGATTTCATATCTTGGGAACATATGAAAAAAAACACTAAATCTCCCTTGTTTTCCTTTATGACCATCTCAAGGCTCATGAATACAGGAAATAAAACAACTCTAAAGGCTAAAAGTGATATATATGCAGTAAACTGAAGTCTCTTGGCCTTGTCTAACAGAGTATATATCCTGTAGAATTTTAATTTGATAGCACTCACATATTAATCGTCATGTGCATTCTAAGTGGCAGTAAAACTCATAGGTAATCATAGAAACATGCAGTCAAAAGATGTCTTAATGTCATCACAGTTTATGTGAGAGATTTAAATTTGGTGAGAAAAAATGAATGGGGATCCCACCAAGGCAAATCTAAATTAATTTATCATAAATTAGATTAAATACATGCAAAAATGGTGATACAGTAATCATGAAAAAAGTGATTAAAACTGAACGTTTTCATTTGAGACACAAAAAGTGATCTGGTCCTATGAATTACAAACTCTGTGTAGCACATTTTACAAAAATTAAAGTAACATTTTCTTTCTCCTTCTGAATAATCATTACAGTAGTCCTTAAGCACACAAACTGAAATGATACATAAATCATATTGACCTAATCACCACCTAGTAACTATGATAACATAAACAAGCAGCTAGCTTTCAGCAACATCTTACTACGTGAGATGGTCCTGTGTTATTGTCCACTGTACGGAAAAAATGCAGTAGATTACAAAGAATATGGGATTATGGAATTCTAGTTTTAGTGCCATCACCACTTTTAGCAAGTGAGGTAAATAATAAAAAAAATGAAAATGGAAAGATTTTCCTGTGCAAAGAAAATAAGGGTACCAATTAGTTCTTAATATGCAGATAGTAGCAATTATCAAATTATGTCATTTTAAACATATATTGAAAATTATGAAACACAAGCCAGTTGTGAAAATGTGGCATTTCTCCCAAAGAACCTGGTTTAGGTCTCCAGTTATGGTTCTTATTCTGCAGAACTGCTGAGCATCAGTGGTAATCTCATATCTATAGATCTAAGGTAAATCCAGACAATGTTTAAATCATTTAAAAAAGAGCTAACTGGATAACTTGGGCTCATCATAAAAAATTAATTACATAGGTGCACAGGTCTAACAATCATTGGATTACAAGCAGATCTTCATTAGGATACTGGTCTTTGCACTCATTTCTATATTTTATTGTTAATTTGTAGAAACTGAGCACAGTCCAGAACATAAACAGAAGGGAGAACATACACTCGAAGAAAATGAATTAAAGAAGAACTGGACCAGTGTATAAAGGTAAAGATTTTATTTTATTTTTAAAGAACTAATTGGTTATTAAAAGGAGATTCTTGATAGTTCTTTATAATTTTCATTTTGATGAATCACTCATACTACTGTATTCACACTCCACTGTACCAAACATATTTAACAACAATACCAAACACGTAATTAAGAATAATCTTTGTTTGCCAAGCAATCACACAAGATTTTGCTGTCAACTTGGGGATGGGGAAATAGGCCAATACAAATAAAGCATTTAAATAAAAATATGCCTTTTATATCTACCAGATAGGTACAATTTGAGTTGAAGAAAATATTAAAAACTGTTTTAAAAAAACTCCAAATGATGTTTTAGATGTTGAATCTTTGATAAAACTTAATACAAGACAGATGAACCCCTGTCTATATAATGAGATATGAGATTTCTCTTCTAGCTAACAATTACCGTCGGACTAGGGGTGTAGTTCAGTGGTGTGTAGCAAGCACCAAGGCCCTGTGTTCAAAACAACAACGAGAACAACTTTCTTTTTACTTTTTCTCTTATGCTTGTAGAAAATAAGTTAAATGAACATTCTTCGAAATGTAATGGTTCCTTACTTTATGGTAAAGCCACCTGGGAATGAGTAATGGGATTACAAATTAAAACCTAAAAAAGTATTTTGTTTTATTTTTCATGCACATAAAAAATCAAATCCATGTTGTTCTTTCCAACTGTTTCTCTTTACTTCTACCTGTCAGAAATAGTAAGAAGGGAAAGAAAAAAAGGAAAAAATGGAAACAAAGCTTATGTAAATAGAGGTGGTAGCATTGAAAGGAGGGCAGGGGTGTGAGGAAGATTAAGAACCTAGATATATCAGGAGCAGATACAAATCACCAATGATGAATGTGATCATAATGTATACCTAAAACGCAGCAATAAACTCAATAAAGAAAACATCCATAAAACATAATTATTCCATGAGACATGTCCACTCTGAAAGTCATTTAACTTTTCCCTTCTATTTCCTTCATTCTTATAACGAAATTATTGGTTACATGTCTTTAATTCTACCACTATACCTCTTTTTCATTACCTCTCTTAATTTCACCAATTAAATTCAATTTCTTCTGAAATTGTTCTTCTAATTTAATTTGCATAATGTAGCCATATTTACAATCTTAAAATATTATTTAATTGTCAAGATGCCATGTAAAAATATTTTGTGAAACCTATTTTTCTAAGTCGTTAAATCTCAAAGTGTTACATTTTCTCCTCTCCTTCATTTCTGAATTTGTGTTTTGCCTTATTTTTCACGTTTTCTTAGTCTCACTCAAGTTTTCAATTCTAATTATCTTTCCATAAAAAACAACTCTTAGTTTTGTTGATTTTTTTCTATTTCCTACATTAATTTCTGCTCTAATGTTTTCATTTTATTACATCTAATAAAACTCTGACCCAAATTTGCTTCCACTAGTTCCTAAAATGATAAAGTTTGGTTGGTTGTGACTCTTGCTTGCTTGCTTGCTTGCTTGCTTGCTTTCTTTCTTTCTATCTATCTTCTTCCAATTCCTCTTCTTCCTCTCTTCCTCTTCCTTTTCTTCCTCTTCTTCTTCTTCCTCCCTCTCCTCCTCCTCCTCCTCCTTCTTTTTTTTTTTTGTACCAGGAATCAAACTGAGGACCTCATGCTTGTGAGGCAGGCATGGTACTACTGAGCTAAATCCCAGGCCCCTTTCTTCTTTTTAATGTAAGATATTATTGCTATGAACATCCACATTAATATTGCTTTTGCTAATATTTCATAAGTTGTGATGTGGGTTTTTTTGCATGTCTCAAGATGCTTTTTAATTTTTCTTTTTATTCCTCTTTGACTATGATTTATCAAATATGTTCTTGAATTTACACATATTTGTTAATTTTTCCACATTTCCTTGTATTTTGATTACTAATTCCATTACTTATTGTCACAAAAATATTTGATAAGACTTCAAACTTCATATTTTTTCAAAATGCAGTTTTGTGACTTAATAGTCTTTCATGAAGGATGTTCCACATTCACGTATGATGAACATATAGTGGGCTGTTGTTCGGTGGAATGATGTGTTAGTCAAGTCTAGTGTTCTGTGATGGATTATGCTTAGATGTCCCCCCAAAGCCTCATGCAGTCATAATTGGGACTTTATCAGAAGTGGCTGGATCTAGAGTGTGTGATTGATTCATGGTGCAATGCTAGGACTAAGAGCACTGGGATTAAGAGTATTTGATTACTAAATTCGCCCACTGATGGGTCTAGCATCTACCCTAAGCCAAGTAGCCTAGATAGAATGTAAAAGGAACAGACAGAAACTGCTCTGGTCACTCGGTTCACTTGCTTGCTTCTTCTATCTTTTGACTACCATGAACAGTTTCTCTTCTTTGATGCCCCTCTGCCATGCTACTCTGCTTGGAAGCCAGACAAATATGAGCTACAGCCTATACAAACTGTGAGATAAATAAACCTTTCCTACTTCAGCTTTGGGAGTTGGGTATTTTGTCTCAGCAACAAGAAAATTGACTAAAACAGATTTAGTTTTCTGTCTGATTGTATTATTGATTATTGAAACTTGGCTTTTGAAGTTTTCTACTGTTATTCTATTACTATTCATATCTCCTTTTTCTGGCAATGCTTTATATATTCAAATGCTTCAAATTTTGGTTGCATATAGTTTTTGTATATAGTATATAATGTTTACATTCCTTGTAGAAAGTTGGTGTGTGTGTGTGTGTGTATAATAAAACATATCTTAATTCCTTTTCTTCAATGCTTTTTCCTTCCCTCCTTTCCTGTTTCCCCATCCCTCGACCTTCTACTTTTTGCTATGTTTGCAATACATAATTTTTATATTCTACATACATAGTTTAATAATCATTATATGTTTCTTGTGAATTGATCAATTCATTTGTCCATATATAATGTGCTATTTTATCTTTTCTGAACTTTTTCACTTAAATTTTATTTTAACTGATATAAGCCATACATGCTGTCATTTGTTTTATATTTGCATATAATTTCATATATTTTGGAGTCTCAGGTCTTTGAATTTTCTTATAGATAGCATAGAGTTGGATATGTAGACACTCTATATATACTGATATTCCCATTGAAGTAAATTCATATATTTTATATCCACTGATGCACTCATTGCAATGTTGTTTTTTTTATTGAGTTATTGGTACAATCTAGGTCTACAATACAGTCACATTCATTACTGGGATCCTGTACCCTCACATGACAGGTCTTGGTTCTCATTTTTTCTCCTTGTCCCTGCCCTCCCTTCACCCCCTCTTCCCCTCCCCATTAACAAACTCTTTATTTCCATTTTTTCATTTTCTCATATTTTTTCTTTTCCTTTATTTCCTTGCCCCTACCCTTCCCCCTTTCCCTACACATTTAGCCCTTTTCTTCCAATTTCACACTTAATTATCCCATTAGGATATTGTGTTACTATTTTTTTCAGCTTTAATTGAGTTTATTGGCAATGTTGTTTTATTTCTATTGCTGTCGTAAATAGTGCTAAATATCAACCCCTTGGCTTTATGCATGCTAGACAAAAGCTCTATAGAGAGCTACAACATCAGCAATATTATTAAGTTTTAATTTTCTATTGCATATGATAGGTATGAGTATTATTTTGGACATATGGCTCATAAACACTTTATTCTGATCTGTATTTTTATCTTTTCATGTTTTTCACAATGTATTTCATAGAGCAGGTTTTAATTTTAATATGATTCAATTTATTGATATTTTAAAAACTTCACGAAATCTGAGATTAGCTGAATTTTCTCATTATAAAAGGTTATGGTTTCATGTTTTCAATTTAGGTCTATAATCTATTTTGAGTTTGTTCTTTCCTTTCATATATGTGTTATTTACTAATACCATGCTATCTTTTTTCTCATTGACTTTATTCATGCATTTTGGGTATACAGTGCAGTTAATTTCATCATTGGGATCTTGTACCTTTAAATGGCAGGTACACCTTATCCCTGCCCCCAAATCACTCGTTCCTCCCTGCCCTATTTACATATACTTTATTGCCATTTTCTTAAGTTTTTTTTTTAATTTCACTTATTATCTTTCCCCTAATCTTCCTTCTTCCCCTACACCTTTAGCCATTTTCTTCCAATTTCACAATGTCAAGTATATCATTAGGATCTTATGTACAATTACAGTTTTTCACACCAGAGAAACTATTTGGTATTTATACATGTATGACTTATTTATTTCACTTAGGAGTATATCCTCAATATGCATCCATTTTCCTATGAATGACTCTAATTTCTCATTCTTTATGACTGACTAGTATTCCATTTTATAGAAAATGCACATCTTTATCCAGTCTCCAACTGATGGGCAAATGGTCTGTTTCGGGGTTTTAGCTATTACAAATTGTGCTGCTATAAACATGGTGAGCACTGTGGTATGATTCTTTTCATTCTTTTGGAAAGATACCCAGCAGAGGGATGGCTGGGTCAAATGGAACCTCTAGTCCCAACTCTTTGAGGTATCTCCATGTTGATTTCCATAGTGGTTGCACCAGTCTGCACTCCCACCAACAATGGAGAAGGGTTCCTTTCTCCCCACAACCCTGCCAACAATTGTTATTGGTTGATTTCTTGATAACAGCCATTCTTTGTGGGGTGAGGTGGAATCTCAGTGTTGTTTTCATCTGCATCTCTCCAATAAACAGTGATGTGGAACATTTTTTCCTATATTTACTTGTTGCTTTTACTTCTTTGTCTGAGAAATTTCTGATAGCCATTTTTGAATTGGGTCCTTATATCTGGGGGGGGTGATTGTTTTGAGTTCTTTATATATTCTAGATAATAGGCCTTTATCTGAGGAGCAGCTAGTAAATATTTTTCCCACATTGTAAGTTGTCTTTTAGTTCTATTGATGGTTTCATTTGCAGTGCAGAAGCTTCTTTATAAGATGAGATCCCAGATGCTGATTCTTTCTGCTAGTTTCAGTGCTACTGAGGATTTGTTCATAAAG